GAAATAGTAATAGAAAACCAACTGCCTAAAAAAAGGGGGCAAAAATAATTCTAAAATAGAAGACTGAAAATAAGATTAGTTAAATGAGTTTTTAAAATATTTTGTAATCTATGTGTAGGTATAAACTATGTATTCATATATTTCACAATAACTACAAAAAAAACACATTGTCACTAAATTTAAAAATGCAATGCAATGAAAACTTGCTTTTTATTTTGATTTTTAAGTTTTGAAAAATGCTGACATTTAAAATGTTATCAATAAAGACACTTCTACTGACTACAGGATATTATCTTAGCTTCACATGCTTGAGTTCATGATCTGGTATTTACCTAAATCATCCTAGTAATTCTAGTTTATTTTTATTATGTGTTGTTATGATTTTTCTCTGTGATGACAGAGGCAATCCTAAATCAAAAGAAACCTACTGCAGCATTCTATCCCCCTGACACAGCAAAAGGTTTTCTTTGAGAGATTTAGATGATCCTGGATGTCTTGGTAATGTAACATTTTTATGGTAGCAAAGCCCTTTTAGAATCAGATAGTATCTGGAATGCAGAGATTATGGAATATATCATTCAAAACTCCCAAATAAGTACTTCTACTTTGTTCTCTTGATATTTTTTTCCCCAGAGATATTAAGTAATCATAATTTTCATGTATAGTAGATCTATCAAGTTTCTTGGATACAAATTTAAATAGAAATTAAAGCATATCAAACTTGGTGCTATCTCTAAAAACTAAATGCCACCAATGATTGTAAATTTGCTGAGGAAATACAAAGCATATATTGTACACTCTATTAAAGGCAGACATTTTAGAAATATCTGTAACTGAATAATCATTCTCTGTAAATTTCATTTAGATTATCAGAAAATCCAACCAAAGACAAAATATTAGTTTTGATTTTTTATAACTTCCTGAAAATATTATCTCAGTTCTTCCTTATATTTTGTAAATAGTTTGAAATAAAGTTATTTAGAAGAGTATCGAGACTCTCAAATGGTTGAAATCAGGAAAAAAAATACATCTCAAATCCTTCACATCTCCTTGTTTCTATGTCCTTCTCCATGTAACTTTATATTGTCCACTCACAATGGTCAGTGTAATGGTCCAACCCTCTGATTATGTAATTGGCCAATGGAATTTTAGCAGATATGTTCCAAGCTGAGGAGCAGTTGAGCTCATTCTTGCTCTTCAGTCACTTAGCAAATGAGCTTACAGTTAGTCTCTCTTACTGGTCTCCAAAGGAAGATGAAGCCCATGTGGAGCAAAGCCAAGGTATGCAAATATAGATCAGCTCACTTCAAGGAACATGAGCAAGCCCAGTCAAGATCAGTATTGAAACACTTGAGTATTCACCTAGCATCATGTTCTATTGTGGTCTATAAGTTTATTTGTGACAGATATACCTATCTCAGGTACAATTACCAATAATGTAGATGATAATGCTACATCTATCATACAAATAGTTGGGAAGGACTAATAATTCTGAGTAATAGAATCAGAATTCAAAATATATCAAGTGTGAGAAGGAGTTAACTAGACAAATAGAGGACAAACATTTTTCTTGAGTGAAGTAAACAGCCTTACTGGCAAGACAGAATAAAATGCTTTCAACAAAAATTAAAGAAAAGTATGGCATTGAACTGAATCTTGAGAGAAGATAGAAGCCAAACCATGAAGTGCTCTGTAGCTCAAGTTAGCACTTGACATTTATCTGGAGAACAGAAAGCAGCAAATAGGTACAATCTTTGTCTAGACCAGATCAATCCAAAGTAATAATTTAATATTAAATTAAATATCTTATATTCAATTAGAAGAGTGATCGAGGGTCACTGGTGGAAAGGGAGGAAGTAGACCTTGATTCAGTTGGAGACAGTGTGGTGGTTAGGTACAAAATATTTTGAGAAACAACTTGGAATTTCTGCTATAACTTTTATTATTGTTGTGACCTTAAGAACATCATTTAATCTCTCTAAGGCTTAGTTTCTTAACTGTAAAACAGGAATAAAAATATCTCTCTGATGAGTTGTTAAATATATACCAAGAATTCAGTGATACTTTTATCATAGTCCTTCCCCTAAAATAATAATTTAAGACAATAGATACTATGCTAATCCCAAATTTAGAGATATATAAATCAGCATCCTTTCCTTCAACCAAGTGAGTGTAACACAAAGAAAACCAATTGTAGCAATTTTAGATGACTACAAGAAGCAATTTTAGTTGTCTTGTGGTGTACTTGTAGAGAGGCAGGAATTCATCAGCCAATTCACTATTGTTATCGGAGAAGAATGCTATGAAATACAGCTGATCTTTCAATGACATGGGTTTGAACTGCATGAGTCCACTTATATACAAATTTTCTTCAATACGTATTGTAAATATATTTTCTTTTCCTTACGATTTTCTTAATTACATTTATTTTTCTATAGCTGACTTTATTATATAAATATAGTATATAATTAATATAACATACAAAATGTGTGTTAATTGACTGTTTATGTTATCAGTAAGGCTTCCAGTCAACAGTAGTTAAGGTTTTGGAGAGTCAAAAGTTATGTGCCAATTTTCCACTGTGCAGGTGCCCCTAACCACCTAATTGTTCAAGAGTAAACTGTAATCCTCGGGAATGTCGAAGCGTGACCCTAGCTTCTCACTCAGAGAAATCTAAAGAAGGAAGGCTGTCTGGGGCAGCCTGCAAAGTATTCAAAAGAGGAAGGCCTGGAAGAGCATTCAACAAGAATGTGTTTCCTTTGGGTGAAGTATGTACGGTGCACATGAGAGGAGCTGGGAGAAGTCAGGTGGAGTACATCCTCTTCTCTAGAGACCTTGTAGAGAGCAGGCTTTCATCAAGGGTCTTTGTGAGAGCTCAGACATGTATTCACTGGAGGACTAATGTTTGGGTTGCTACCTTACAGGAGGCATCAACAACCCAACAATATAAAAATATTCTTGCCCCTTCTTATCTACCTCTCCATCTAGGAAAATTCTGAAAAGTCCAGACATAGCCTTTCGCAGATGAGGAAAAAGAGCAAAAATCTGACCATTCTTCCTTCTCACTCTAGGTACTGAAGGTCATGCTGGCTCTGAGGTTATGAAAAATACTTTATAATAGATATGGTATTGGCTCTGATTTAGACTGGACTTGAATTTTTATATCTGAAAGTGAGTCTCATTAACTGGAATGAGACTGTTGTTTCAACAAAATGAGGCTGGAGAGATATAGTACCTGTCTCATAACCCATGAAGGCATAGGAGATGGAGATTTAACATAGTTGTTATTCAGCTAAGACTTCAATATACTGGTTATATAAAGAAACAAATAGATATTAGTTAGTAAAGCACTTAAGACAGTGTATGGAAAATAGAAAGGGCTCAATAAATATTAGCTACTTTTATAATTGTTGTTATTTAATGGGAAAAAAATCAAATTTAAATGTAACCCAAAATGGAAAGGGATGTACTGAACAATAGCAACGGAAAATTACAAAAGCAAAGATGAAAGAGCCATATGTGAGACATAATATAATAAACATTCTGAATTTGAATAGAAGATTTGGTCATGGTTCCTTTAATTCTAAGATTCTACTATTTTAAGCATGAATTGTTTTTCCACGTGAGGAAAAATTTGTTCCCTCCCCTCCCCCAAAATTAAACAGATAATATAAATCTTCCTACATTTTTAATTAAAAAGAAACATAGATTAAATTCTTTTTATCTTCTAAGAGCATCCACTATTAAATCGATATCATCCATCCTTTCCATCTGGAGTTAGCTGCCTTTATCAAATGCAAATCATAAAAACTTGCCTGTCAGTACTCATTCTTTGATGCCTCTTCCTTTATCTTTGAAAATGATACTGACATAAAATGAATTGAACATCCCTACAGTACAGCTAGAACTGTCTGGAAAGGGACCGAGCTTTTATATAACAATAACTTACTTTCCTTTGTTCTAACTCATTTTGAGATTCTACATAAAGGATATTTCAACAACAACAAAACAAATCAGAGAGTAAGCAAAGTGTTTCATTTTTTAAAGCAACTCTCATGTTCAGAAATGAAAATAATTATGTCTCCCAACTCACAGAGCAGAACATTTCATACCAAACTTGACAGGGAATAGTTCCATACTTACATCTTGATTGGTCATCTCCCAGTAGGGTCTCTCTCCATAAGACACAACCTCCCACATCACGATTCCATAGCTCCAGACATCACTGGCAGAGGTAAACTTTCGGAAAGCTATAGCTTCTGGGGCAGTCCACCTGATTGGAATTTTGCCTCCCTAGAATTGAAAAATGAATTTAAAAAATTCTCACACACTTCAAATGTATCTAGGGATATTGCTGCCTCACTCAAAAGATCTAGAAAGAGATATAGCATTTTTAAGTGAATCTATTTGACAGCATGCAGTCTCTTTTCACATATCAGATTATAAGCACTTGCAGACTGACGGCTAATTGGCTGTCCGAAAGGCTTCTGGTTTAAATTCTGTTTGACTACTGGAATACATACAAGACCCACAACTCAATTACAATATCAGGACGGCAGCTCTAAGTGGGGAAAGCAGGCGGTTAAGCAAATCAATAAGGTATACTTTCATGACTTTCAACCAGAGAGTAAAGGACTCAAATTCCCATGGTACTTTTTCTTTAATATAGGAATTGTAAGTAAAAAGTCTCAGTGCCAAATGCAACCTTGAGAAGTATAATAGTTAATAAGACAAGCATAAAAATCAGATATGTTAAAAACTTAGTTACACTCTCCCTTAACATCACGCAATTTCTGCTAGACTTGATATCTCTTATTTTCTGTTTTCATATTTTTGTGTTTGTTCAATTAGGCCTTTTTTTTTTAATCTAAGAGGTAGGTTTCTCATTTAATTCAACCATTTTAAAATTACTGAAATTAGATTATGAAAAAAGATTACATTATTAAGTTTGAGTTTTTATTTTACATTGTACAAAGAATTGGTTTGGTAGGTTCTCTCTTAGTTCACTAAATACACTTAAATACCAGGCCCCTTTTGGGGTGACATTCTTTTCTCTTAATTTTTAAAAGTTGTCAACCCAAGCAACCAAACATTTCATTTATAAGCAAAAACATATTAAAGGGGTGGAAGGAGGGAGAGAGAGGGAGAGATTTTGAATATCTTTAAAAGACTAACATATGTCTTCTCATTGTGTGGAAAGGGAATAATTTAATTCACATACTGGAAAAAAATAGGACCTAAATTGCTCTTTATGAACGAAAGTTATAAGATATACAAGGAAATAAGAGTTTTATGCAATGCTTGAAATTATTCTCTGAATTAAATTTAATTTGAATTATTCAAACTAAGTTTAAATTATTTGCTCCTTAGAAACATGGTGACACTACTGTAAGAAGACTTTCTTGAAACATACTTTTGTTAAATAAATATTCGTAAGATCATACAATTAGGTCTGGAATGTGTTGTGATGTTCTATAATATATTACTATACGTCTGGAAATTATAATTGTTAAGTATTTTATACTTCAGCCTAGAATGTTTCTCCTGATCCTCTGAGCATTGTATTTGCCATCAGTATCATCTGAAGTTCCCTTATCTTCTTATCTCTTGGTACACACATTTTGCACAAACTGCCACCATGCCTCATTTCATAGGAATAAGTCTTAAGTGTCTCAGGAGTTCTGCTTTCCCTCCTGCTCCCTCTCTCTCAGCATGACACATTGACACAAACCTTGACAATCTATTTCATGTATTTAACTAAGACATCAACCAATCATATCGAGAATGGATTTTTCTATAACCTCAATCTTGCTTAGGCCAAGTTTAAGTATAACTCTAATATCAGGAGAATTCTTAAGTGAGGTTTCATTGAATGCAAATAACGACAAAAATAATTAAGTCTAGAAGAAGAGGAATTGATATCCCACCAATTAATTTATTGATGTATTAAGCTGATCATTAGACTTGTTTGCTTATATAAGATACTCATGATCTTTAACATAGTACTATCCTTAAATATCTCTGAGTCACAAAGCAACAATGAAAACAAAACAAAACAGCCTTATAACCTATAAATAGTTTATTGCTAGACTATGAGTAGAAGTAATTTTAAAACTTTGAATTAAATAAAATGTGTAACACACCTATCATAAAAATAGGAGCAACAAAAGTATTCTTTTGTATTGAAACAAAAGTTAACCAAATTGTCAGTTAAAAAGATATAATAATAAGTTCCTGTCTTCACAAGGAGTTTAGACGTTGAGGATCTAACTTGGCAATGTTGTAAAGATTTAAAATTAAACAAATCTAGTTTATCATAAGGATTTTAAACTCAAAGAGGGCAATGCATAGATTGCCCAGAAAATTCTGTTTTGCCAATACCCACACTTTTCCACAGAAAGAACTGTCAATTATATAACATATCAATTCAGAAAACAATTACATTGCTGGAAAAGTAATTTATGCTAATTACGACATTGTAAGTTAGTGATCAATTTTCCAAAGATATGGGCCTAACAGTTTACATAGTATGTAAGAAAAGGCATTAACATGCCTTTGATAAATTAGAACTTTTGGAAGAAACAGCTCTTTTATTTCCTGCCGGATGAATTCTTAAAAGGTAACTTTAGATATTTTGTATTTGCTTTACTAAAGTGAAGACGCTTTATTGCAGAGAATTTAAGCTATTCAACTATGCTATACATGTTATATATTCATATATAGCATGTGTATACATATGTATGTGTATTTATTGCTTTAATGTAAGAGAGTCTCTAACTTTTCTTTTACATTTAAAACTATATGATTTTTTCTATTGTATGCACTCTGAACTTAAGCATTTTTATTTTCAGTATCTTTTGAAAATAAGAGACTCATAAGGGGGATATTGAATATTGCTTATCTGAGTTTAATATATGAATTTTCTGATATTTAAGAGAGTATCAACTGGATTTTTTTTATCCCCCACCCCCTCTCTTTCTCTCTCTTCGTATGTTGGAGAAATGTCTCTTTTTTTGCTATTTCCTTTAAAATCTTTAAAAATTAAATGGCTCTAGTCTGGTGTTTCAGAAATGCATTCTGTTAGATCTTACCCTTGTGGTGTAGGCTGCCTCAGGATCGTCTTCCAGTACCCTGGAAAGTCCAAAGTCAGACACTTTGCACACAAGGTTACTGTTGATTAAGATGTTTCTGGCAGCAAGGTCTCTATGCACATAACCCATGTCAGAGAGGTACTTCATTCCTGCAGCAATGCCTCTCAGCATGCCAACAAGCTGAATAACAGTGAATTGTCCATCATTTTTCTGTAAAGACGATGCAGAGATATTAGTGCAGAAATGTCAGTCACTGGGGGGAAAATATGAAAGGAGCTTTCTTCAATCCCAAATTAATATTATCACCAGATTCATATACAATTTCTATCTGAAGGAGAACAGAAAAAGTTTGGAAATATGTAGTTAACTTCGTAATGTTTATCAGTCCTCTGTTTGGTCAAAGCAAATAAAGCCTTTAAAAACCCTTGTCAAAAATCTCTTTTAATTACCATTCTCTGCATTATTACTCCTTCATTCTCAGTCATCAGAGGAGAAGAGAGTGTTCATCACTGCAATCTGCTGCTCGCCTAGGTTTAACACTGCAAGTTTTCGAGGTGCTTTATTTTTTATTAAATTTACTGGAGAGCCCGAGGAGAGAAAGAGCAATTAAGGGGATTGTTTTATAAACTATATTAGTGTTTAACTAATATACTGCATAGTTGAAACTAATAATAAAATAAAATTTTAAAAAATTTATTGGGGTGACCCGGTTAATAAAATTATATAGGTTTCAAGTGTACAATTCAAGAATATGTCATATATATATTGCATTGTGTGTTCACCACCCCAAGTTATTTCCTTCTGTCACCATATATTTGACCCCTTGTACCCCTATCTCCTTACTGCCTCTTCTTTTTTCTGGTAATCACTAAACTGTTGTCTGTGTCTGTGAGTTTTTGTTTGTCTTGTTCATTTGTTGTTTTCAGTTTTATATCCCACATATGAGTGAAATCATTGTTCTCAACTTTTTCTGTGACTTATTTTGCTTAGCATGATAATCTCAAGATCCATCTATGTTGTCGCAGGTGGCAGTATTTCACCTTTTATTCAAGGTACTTTAAAAGAAGCTAGATAGATAAGCATATTGGTGTAAGGAAGAAATGGCCAGAGGAGATAAAGGGAGATTCTGCAGTAGCAGATGGGAGGGAAATGACTGAGCAATGACCAAGACAATGTTAGCATTTCTTAGAAGCTTGCTGTCTTTGTCAAGGGCACTGAACTTACTGCAGACACACAGAATAAGGCTCACCCGATGATTATTTTAAATAAAGGAATGATGTGACCTTAAGAGACTGAAGAACTAGAAGATACGTATAAAAAATTTGGCAATGGAATTTGGCAGAGGCTGAAGATTGGAAGGGAAGTTTGCGTTGTCAGTGGACTGCTGTCACATTCAATGCACAGACCCCTCTCTTTTGATCACCATTGATGCCTTTTCCTAACACCTTTCCTGATCAATAGTAATAATTGCTACATTGAAGATGAAAAACTGCCAACCTACAGGTTTAATCAGGTCTGTAAATATGTTATATGTCTAGCACAAATTATTTATTAATAAAACGAGTTGCCAATGTTTAAAATTTGGAGACTTACACATAAAAAAAATATTTTTGTGAAACCCAGATCTGACAATACAAAATTAGTATATCTATTACCATATGATGAATCCATTTGCACAAGCAGTAGTCCTCAGATGGGTTAAAAACCTATTTGACCTCTTAATATACATAATTTGCATGAACATTTTAGACATATTTTCTCATTCTGCTTAATATTATATACTTTGAGAAAGTTAAGTATTTGTAGAAGCTTTTTTTTCTCCATTCTTTTCCTTTCCTTTACTCCTTTCCTTCTTTCCATTTTTTCTTCCTTCTTCTCTTCCTTCCTTCCCTCTTTTATTTTTTTAGGCAAATTAACATATATTTAAATAAAACTGTAGACATAATTTAAATTTAAATTTTCTGAAAAAAAACAATTTTCAAACTGAAGTTAATTTTTTGGACTATAATTATTCTGGCTCCAGGTATTTCTATTTAAAACTTTAACTTTAAAGTGGCTCAATATTAACTTTAATATCATAGTTAATTTATAAATAGCACTTTTAATAATTAAATTTGTCTCAAATCTTACCTTTAAAAATGTATCTAAAGAGCCATTTTCCATATACTCTGTCACTATCATCACTGGTTTACCTGAAAAGAAAATAGTAAGTGAACCGCTGCTTTTTGATTTTGCATTCTTATCCAGAAACTGTTTACCTGGAAGTTTTTATTAGCGTCCAAATTATATATATTCATTAAAAAAACCTTCTTTGAGTAGCAAGTAAATTTCTGACACGATGATACCTTAATGCGATGGTAGGGTCAGTGAGAAGAAATTATGACAAGAATAATGACAGATTGATATTTAAGATATATTTAAAAATGCACAATTGTCAATATCAAAATCAATTTATGTAGAAAATAAGTTCAAGAATAAATATTATTTTAATAGAGGTAATAATATCCAGCAAATCACTATGAACATATTTCTCTTTCTCACAATTCTAAATAAAAATTATCCAGTCTAACTGCTTTGTTTATGATCCGTTGAATATATGTTGTATTTTCCTAACTTTATTTCTATGTTCTTGTAAATCCTTTCCTTATGGCTACCTCCCTTTTCCCTCTCTGTTGCCACACACTTACAATCTCTATCAATGGAAAGTTTTTCATTCTTCAAAAAAATGCTGTTCTAATTTCTCTTGCTATCTGGAAACCTCCCTTGCCATCACCATTTTCATTGGAAGAGGTCCTCCTTTCATGTCTGATAAAGAAGTATAGCCTAGAGAGTCGTAGGACAGACTTGAGCCACATTGCTTGGCTCTGAATCCCATATTATTCACTTAACTATCATGTGATCATGGGCAAATCAATTATTATTTCTGAGTCTCAGTTTTCTCATCTGTAAAATTAGGATACTAATAGGATTGTGATGAGTACCCACCAAGTTATGTGGTTATCAAAGGCACTTAGAATAGTGCCTAATTTGCTATGTATTATTAGTTTATAAACTTAATCAACTTTTTGGGTTAACTTCCTTGCTGGACATACTTGACTAAGAGAACAAATCCCCCATAATATTATGGTATTTTTTGTATAATACGTCTGTGACACAAGACAAAAAATACAAGATAAAAAAATCCATATTGAATGAGGAAATACTTAAGATATGGTTGTTAGTTTTATCCCTCCACATTAACCTCACTATATTTTAGAACATGCCCCTTTACTCTTTAGTGACAGTATACCACATAAAATTTAAGTGTTTTTAAACTATTTTGAGGTTAGTAAAAGGAGACCTTATGACAGAGAAATTACTATCTTATACATCTACTAATTAAGTTTTTTATATTATGGAGGAGAAACAAGGCCTATACAATCATGGAACCCATTATAACTAACTTAATGGCATTCTCTAGAAGAGCATTTGTACTTTACTTGAGAAGTAATTAATTCAAATCATAGAATTAGAACTTGCATACTTAGTCATATATCATACAGCAGTATAAGTAGACGTATACAAAGTTAGACAATTACATATAAAAAATAACTAGAAAAAATAATTTTTCATTTCAAAATAATTTAAAACTCACTCTTTAGATAATAAGGCAGGTCAGTCTTAATTCTCACTCAGATAATCATCTTCTTTTAAAATATTTTAGGAGTAATATTCTTTAACTAGAATGTGGCAAGTATATTACAAAGGTAGACACATTTCTTTCTTCTTTAAAGTTTATAAAAGTTATTTTAAAAGGTTTGTCTAAAATAATCTATTTAGCATATGATTTTAGATGTCTATGTTAGGTGAAACATCACATATGCATTGGTGATGTCATTTAATCTGAACTTTGAAGACTGAAAGGGTCACTTGTATAATAAAAGGTGACAGATATTCCTGGAAGAGGAGGCAGCATGTGCCAAGGGATCTTGTCATGAAAGAGTCCATCAAATTCAAATATAGCCATATATTTGATTTTTTGAAGAACCCTGGATTTTTCTTCATAAATCAGGAAATGACAGGAGGTGAGTTGGAGAATACTGATTTAAAACTGATTGAAAATACCTTAGTTTAAAAGAAAAAAAAGAGAAAGAGAAATGATTCATATTGTATTTGTAAATGGCTCTGATAGCACAGGAATAAAAAAAGATTATAAATGTTTTTTTTCTTAGTATAATTGTAATCTAAAATGATGAATAGAGAAATGTTTCCATTTTAATTTTAATGATATTGCCACACCCATCTTAATGAACTTCACAGAAACTCTAAAATAGACAAAATTCTACTTTGGGACTTTCTGGTCTTATTCTTACATGTTAGAGCCCATTTCAGCCTTATGTTGACACCTCTTTTCTTCCAAAAGTCTAGAACTGTTATACTTCCCCAAGGGTAAAAGGCAAAATATTTGATAGCTACTTTGTCACAGGACCTACGTGACAGGAGTTACACCAGCCATAATGCTGCAGTATCCTGAAACATTCTGCTGTACCAGACATCATCTGTTCATTTGCTGATCTTAGGAATTCAGAAGTATCCAAGGATAAAACTGAGTAGGCAGGTAAAGCGGACACATGGGTAACCATGGCATCAGCTTTTAATCAAATACTACAGAAGTATTTCAATAAATTTACAGCTAATAGAGTCAAAAGAGTATGTACTCACTGAACATCAGCCTACATTTTCTGGAATCAGCCTGCAATTCCAGGAATCCTTCCTATGTGTCTCTGTCTCTGACTCTGCCTGATTGCTTCTCTCACAGAGGGGAGCCATGATAGTATAAAGAAAGGGAAGGACAAAATTCCAGCAGATATCCAAGGAATATATTCTCATTTTTCCTCCATAGGCACCTCTCAGTTCCTATCATATGAGCAGATGCATTGTTCATCAAAGTGAAACCCTAATCTACATCTACTCTACCCCAAGTCACTTACGTCTGTGGCACTTTCTCTATAGTTACTTACAAAACTTTATTTCCTTTCCTCTTTTCCCATATATATTTTTTCTCTCTGCTTATCCTCTAATTTTTTAGACTCCTTTTTTACAGTTATGGCTCAGTGGAAAATATTTACTATTGCTTATCCAAGGTCTACTGAGAGAGAACTGGATGGAATTCCCATGTAAAAATATTTTTTACTTGGATAAATTTGTTCCCTAAATTCAACCCTAATTTAGAAGAAAGAATTTGTGTTCTAAAGAGAAAGAACTGATTAGAAAACATATTGACATTTAATAATATACATTTAGAAAGAAAATATGATTACTTTTCAGGGAGATGGGCACCTGGTATTCATCCAGTAAGAGTATATAGCTAGCATAACCTAGTTTTAAAAGTCGGGTTAATTATTTATGACAGTGTAGGTTATAATGTCAATAACAAAAGTGTTTTTTGAGAAATATGATAGGGACCTAAAAGACCTCTCATGTTTCAGACAATGGGAAAAGCAATTAAAATGAATGCTTGCAAACAAGCACGATGTTCTTTTGTTGACAAGAATAAGACACTTCAGGACTCATTTGATTATATTTCATGCTCGAGTCATTTTAATGCTAATTACATTTAGTTTGGCTTATGTTTTGTCTCAGTCCCTACTATCCTGAAAGAATGACATAGCAATAATTAACACGGCTTACTCTAGCCCTTGTAAATTCAATAAAACTGTATAAATCATTTTTCATTATCCAGCTTGAAGTACAAAGAGTAGATTTCCAATAATTTTGAAAGCATATTATCAAAAATCCATATAAAGAGAGCTCATAAAGCATGTCAAAACATGATTTTAATCACACACTAGAGTTTTTATATTACTTTATATTATTTACTGAAAACCCAGCCCAGGCAGAGTCTAAGTAGTAATAGAAATGCATTATTTGTGGAATTCACATTATTATTGATAACCATAAAAGAGCTACAATTTATTGATTTTATTATCTACTCTTTATAAGGCATGATATTATTTTTGTTACTAAAATTCTATAAAAGCGATATTATGAAAGACATTTTTCAGAGAAAGAAAAGTGAGCCTTAGAATGATTCAATATATTTCTTGAGTTGAGAGTAAGTTGTATAAGAAGCAAAATTGAGAATCAAATTTATGTCCACCTGTCTATAAAAGCTTTTTTCCTTTCCTGCATACTATGATGCCTATAATTTCAAAATATTTTATTTTAAATCTTATTTTTAAGTCTCAAAAATATTTACCAAGTTAAAACAAACTTGGTAATCATAACTATGCCATACCGAACTATTTAACCATTGATGGAAGATCTGGTAACTATTCAGCCAGTTTCAATATATAATATATATTTTACATGTGATCATTACTTATGTATGCCCTGACTGTTCCAAAGTGCTCTAGAGTAAAATGGTCTTGGATTCTACTCCTGTGAGGTATCTATAATAGTCAAATCTATGGAAACAGAACGTAACATGGTGCTTGCCAGAGGCAAGGGTGAGGAAGGAAGGAGCTTCATTTTTACAATATGAGAAAGTTCTAGAGATCAGAGATACAACATTGTGCTTATAATTAACAATACCATACTGAACACTTAAAAATTTAAGAGAGTAGATCTCATATGTGTGTTTTTTTTTTTCTATCACAATAAAAGAAAATTGAGTTTGTTTCGCTAGTACATGATTTTTGGTGCCAGTGTCCATCAGAAATCCAGCAGAGGAGAGAGAATGCTCCTGGTAATTCAATCCATTTCCATTTCAAAGTCAAGTGAAACAAACTTCTGGGAATGTTCATCTAGCCCTTGTTTTCAGAGTATGGCCCCTGACAAGTAACATAGCTATAACCTGGGAGCTTGCTGGGTGGGGAGGGGCAAATTATGGGGCAGTTAGAACTTAGAAAGCAACTCAGATATTTTCATTTGATTATGGTCCTTATTTGTTGGTTAACACTTTAGGAAGAGACACTTATGAAATTATATAATTTTAATTTTAGGAAAGACGATAAAAGAAAAAGCCTATATTGAGACAGGAATATGAAAATGTCAAATGTCTCTCTAGGTAGAGTGTCCAAATTACATAATATTCTCTTTTTATTTCATATTGTTTATACTGATATAAAATTTTCCATTAGATGTTAATTTCTCAAATTAAAAGTGAATTAGAATTGTTCTGACATAAGTGAAAGTGGATAACAACTATGAA